AAATATAACTACGCCAATGTGTTCCTTTGCCAAAAAGAAATATTTTATGTTATGTAACTTTTTTTGATAAAGTTATTATTTAATAAGTTATTGACAATAATTACTTTTTTTTTGTATGGAGCTCAACATTTATTTTTATTTTATTCGTTATTCTTAAGCTTTCTTAAGAAATTGCTTTTTGTATTATGTAATGCATCATATAAGCTATATTATCACCAAGGGATGAATCCCGGAAACCCTCGGAACATTGTCATTTTCGACTTTAAAATAAAATAAAAAAAACGAAAAAAAAAATTACTGCAATGTTATGTACTTTCTTCCGTACTACCCTAACGAGGTGAAGAACTAAGCACGTTTTTTTATAGTGGTGTTTCCAGGAGGCCTAATTCACTTGTAAGATTATTAAAATATGTTTTATGGAAATTAAGCCAGTGTGAAGTTAAGTTTATTGGTTATTCAGAGTCAGTTTCTGAACCGTGAAATAGGCTAATGTCCACAAAAGTAAAGCTTTCTTTCAGTATCAGTATCAGCCTCATCATCAAATCGATCATTTATTAATTAACTTTTTGCTGCTGTTGATAAAACTTTGTGTTTTCTATGAAGTTTATATTATTAATTATCTATATCTGAGAATCAGATTTTAAAAATAAATTGTGTAAAATATCTTCATTAGTTGCTCTCCTACAAAATTCGAGCGTGGTGTAGTACTTTCTGATTGGAAGTAAATATCTTTTCCGTGAGCAATAATTTTGTATGCTTGCAGGCATGTACGTATGTAGAGCTTCATGTACGTAGTATAGTTTGGTCTGCGAAACAAAATTTGCGAAAATGATGATTCTAGCGTTTTAGGGCAACTTGTAAGTGCCTAAATGAACGTTCGGTTTGATGTCTCCAGATAAAATGGATACGGGAAAATAAGGTTTCTAGCTCCACTTTTTACTATCGACTCATTTCTTTTTCAAATTTATGAAGGAGACCCATTTTTTTTTATTCAAAATAAGCTGCATTTAATTTATTGTCGACCTATTTTAATGTTAACAATGAAAAAAACTTAATGGACGCGGAAATTGAAAATTTAATAGATCGTAATAAAATTCTGGAAGCAAAACAATCTCGTAATAACTGATTCTCACTTGATAGATAGAAAAATAATATCGTTGATAAATGGCACAAGCAGCGATGTGATATTTGTAAAGCCATATCAACAGAAATGAATAATTTAGACGTAATTGCCATCAAGAAAGGTTTTCAACACCACCAAAAAGTCCACTATAAATGATCAATTTCATGTCTAGGCTGATACTGAGAAAGAAAACTTTACTTTTGTAGATTCAGAAAGTGGCGCTTGAGTCTAACCAATAAATTTAACTTCAAACTGGCTTAATTTCCATAAAACAAATATTATATGTATTATAGTAACCTTAGTAATCATGTGGATTAGGCCTCCTGGGAACACCACTATAAAAAACGTGCTTAGTTCTTCACCTCGTTAGAATAGTACGGAAGAAAGTACATAACATTGCAGTTTTCTTTTTATTATTTTTTTATTTTAAAGTCGAAAATGACAATGTTCCGAGGGTTTCCGGGATTCGTCCCTTGGTGATAATATAGCTTATATGATGCATTACATAATACAAAAAGCATTTTCTTAAGAAAGCTTAAGAATAACGAATAAAATAAAAATAAATGTTGAGCTCCATACAAAAAAAAAGTAATTATTGTCAATAACTTATTAAATAATAACTTTATCAAAAAAAGTTACATAACATAAAATATTTCTTTTTGGCAAAGGAACACATTGGCGTAGTTATATTTACAAAATTTGGCAGTTATTTAATTTTTTTATTTTTTTTTATTTTAAAGTCCAAAATGACAATGTTCCGAAGATTTCCGAAATGCGACACTTGGTGATAACATAGCTTATATGTTGCATTACATAATACAAAAGTCAATTTCTTAAGAAAGCTTGAGAATAACGAATAAAATAAAAATAAATGTTGAGCTCCATACAAAAAAAAAGGAAATTGTCAATAACTTATTAAATAATAACTTTATCAAGAAACGTTACATAACATAAAATATTCCTTTTTGGTAAAGGAACACATTGGCATATTTATTTTTTCAAAATTCGGCGCTTGATTTTTGAGCGACGCTAAGTCTATGAAGCTCTAATATCAGCCCACCGTGCGCCGCTGTTGGACTATTGTGGTGAATCCATTAGCGGTTCTAGAGAAAATGGTCCACAATAAATACTCACAAAGCGTGGTGACCAGAGCGTGAAGTGTAAATCGATCGGCCATTGGACACATGGCCGTCGTAAACTCACCTTCCTACGATCTCGGCATATCCACTTTTAGATTAGTCTACCAAGAGTCTGAGAATGTCGTCGTCACCTTTCGAAATATTTTTGTCATGGAGATAAAAGTATCTATTATGCTTATGCTATAATAGTTAGTTGTTACGATAGCTACCAATCCTTATACAGCTGTTAGCTTTTGTTAATCAAGGATTTAAAAGCAATTAAAATACAGGGTGGAATTTTGTAATGCCACGGAGACAACTGCATTCAAAGATTTTCGATTTTTTTTCAAAAATTTACTACCATACCATAAAATTTTCTGTAAATAATTACAATAATTTAAGATTTCATGGTTTTCCTTTCAATTGATTTAACAAGTTTGTTTGAGAGATTTCATCCTTATATTTAACACTAACGATCGATGCAATAAAAATACAGGATGTAATTTTTAACAGATTTTAGTTGGTTCGATTCCCGAGTGTAGCAAGAAAATTTTTGGAAATCGTTGAATGCAGTTCTATTTCTTTTCAAAAATAAAGGAATGTTTTCTTTGAGTAAAATTTTCTATCTACAGTAGGTATTAAGAGTACTTTCCCTTCAGGTGGCATTACAAAATTCCACCCTGTATTTTATTTCTTTTATAATATACCTATTTAATTTGGATGGTTGCAACAATGTCTACTCACTCGTTAGTTTCAAAGAAGCACTTTTACGTAGGACAACCAAATTTTGTGCTGTCATCAACTCATAAAGTCATATCCATAGCTACTGGAGTCATAATAAATTCTTCTTTTTCTTTAAGGCGATTTTTCACGTTTGCCCAAATGGCTGGTTCAAGACTCACGCCCGTATTCACGAACGATACTTGCTTAAATGAAGCAGAAAATCGAACGCACAGCGTTGAATAGAGCTCTGTGATTGGTTCGTGTGTCACCCTGTGCAACCTCATAGTAATGTTTGTGAATACGCGCACTGTGAGACCTCATAGTAATGTTTGTGAATACGGGCGTCAATCTCCTTCTAAAACTCATACAAACCACCACACAACGGAAAAAGTATATTTTGTGGAGCATAATAATATCATTGTCTAGACTCTAGTATAAACAGTAGGTAAGAAGCAAAATTTGCCCGCCTCATACTCCTATTAATTATGATTACCACTAATTTATAAACACTAATTTGTTTCTGTACCTACCTACTTAATTATGAACACTAACTACTTACTGTATAATTAAGTGCCTACCTACTACCATAATAATACCAACATGCGCCGAGTCTGGGTCTAATCCCCTTCTCATGCTAGGAGACGCCTGGATAGACACAATGACAATACAAACTGTCATTGAGAGAGCGTAATGTACAGGGATGTATCAAGGGAAATAAGCCCAAATTATTTACGTCACATAATACCTACATTATTGTTATTCTGTGATATGATTAATTATTTTTTATGCAAAACAAGGCAGGTATTTGACCGTAACCGCACCTTAACCAAAATTACTTAGCTGACAATTAATACAAATAAAATGCCGTTGATAGAGCTTATTTGAAGGCATCATGTGCTTTGTGGCGGTTCTTCACGTCAAGCGTGAAATATTTATTAAGCTGAAATTACGTAAGTTTTTGTATTTTTCATAAAAATTCTTCCAACTATCGGTGGCAAAGAAATAATAAATGAATTGAGATGCTAAGTTACAAAGTAGTGCAAGTTATTTCTTGAAAATGAATATTCAAACTCTAACGTTTAACTTACAGCTAGTAAAAAGTTAAATTCGAAAGGGCGCTGCTAAAAACCAACTCCCTAACTACGCCTCTGTTCATCTCACCAACAAAACATTCAAGTGAGACTGTTTTTGGCACTAGAGTTGGTTGGTTTGAAGTTTCTTTCGGTGGCTCATTGAATTAATAGTTAAATGCTCTTGAGTCACGAGTGTCACGTCACGACTGTAACCCTTAAACAGAGAATACAACTGCTTAGAATGGGTATTCCTCGCTTTTCACATTTTGAGGGCTTGCAAGTTGAGTACAAAGGTATTTCACTTGACTCTCAATTTTCTTAATCAACTCTATCAATTATTCAGCTATCTAGCTCTAAAGTTGAAAGTTTAAGTAGGTGCTGAAATACGAGTAGGACCACTTGACCGTTCACGAAAGTAGTTTTTTCATCTAAAAAGGTACTAAGTATTTCCTAATTATGAAAAAAATAGACCCTGAAAATTATCAGTTTTATAGTTTTACCTGCAGTAACAATCCTGGAGTAATTCTCGTACCTTTTAGCACTTGAACGTATCTAGAATGAAAACGAGTAAAAGTTTATGGAAGTCTGCACTCTCAGTTGCATAATATTATTGTACACCCTGTATATTCGTTATCAAGCGTATTATCAGAAAGCTCACAGTGCCTAATGTTTTGATAGACCACTTATGGTTTGGCGGACTATTAAAACGGCCACGAGGTATTTTTACACCTCTGAAATACCGCTAAAGCCGAAACCACTTTTGAAGATCGTTATTTTCCCTCTCATTTTCTCGCAACCAGTCCTAAGTATAAGGTTTATGTCTAATGATTCGAAGGAAATCCGAGTTCTCGGTTAGCACTTTGGCAAAGAAGAAGGGCTGTTAAATATCTCTTAAAGATCTTATTCACGGATTCAGAGAATCCCATCGCCTCACCGATGACACAACGGGAAGCTAACCGTTTTATTTATAAAATCACTGTCCAGCGAGTTCGGACGACTAGTATATTTATATGCGTGTCCGTAGCGAAAATATTTTGTTGTCAATGTTCGCGCGTGGCATTACAACGCCGGCGCTTCGTTCGTAAACAGTGATCGCAAAACAGTGAAGATGCATGCGCCAGACGAAGTTCCTAGTTACCCGCCGCCGCCGCCCCCCAAAAAGCTGAGCCGGCCGAAGATAACCCTGCAAATACCAGATGTCACGACCCCAGTTACGACCCCTCGAGGACCCCACACGGCGACGTCAATGGGGCCGCAATACTGGTCGTCTTCGAGATACCGGGGGCGGCCTCCCACTACACCAGGGTCGCACATCTCAGACCCTCATGGGAACCCGTATTTCAACCCCTTCATGCACATGTACCACAATAAAGCTTCGGAGTACATGTTCAAACGCTTCGAAGGCTTCAAAGACTTTACAATGAACACTGCTAAAAGTGGATTGAGTGCTGGTGAAAAGTCCGCCTTCTGGTTTGTGAATAAACTGAAAATATTGTCGAAAAGGTGGTTCACGCATTTGTTTTTGACTCTGTGTCTTGTGTTGTATAGTGTTATGGGTGCGGCGATGTTCTACGCTCTGGAAGGTAAGATTTTTTCTTATATTCTTCTTTATTTTACATAATTTTTTGACTTCATGTTGCAAATTATAATCTTAAGCAAATCCTTAAGATTATAATTTGCAACATGAAGTCAAAAAATTTTGTGGTTATGAAAATTATGACAAATACCTTTCTTTACTCACCAGTGCAGAGTTTTTCAAGTACTTTCAAGTATATTTAGTACCTACATCTGGAAAAACTCTATTCTTCTAAATTACGTCAAAATTCACGATGATTCACTCCAAAGAATGATCTAATACTATCAAAATAAAGTAAAAATAACTTAATTTTAAATGTAAATATCCAAAGGTTCATCGCTAATCTATGTACAGTACAGTCTGCTCTATGTATAAAGTCAATTAATTTCTTTTTATCTACATTTAAGAGTCATTTACGCAAGTGGTTTAATTTATTTATCTATACGCTGTTTACTAGAGGCCTTGTACTTTTATCAAATCAATTAAAATAAAGCAAATGAAATGCAAATTAAATGAGTAATTCTAAAACAATGCTCTCATAAACTAAGTTGACGCCTCTTGAGACACTCGATCAACTTAGTGAGAGTAAGTAAGTACCTACCTTAGAAATAAATTTATTTTGTATTAAAATTTATTTCAGTAGTTTAAATAAATTCATTACAATACTAAGTCTAACTCTACCATAGAATCAGAAATTAGCAAGAGACAACCATGACTCTTGCTAATTTCTAATTCTATGGTCGAGAAAGCAATCGAATGGTTGAATTATTGGTCTCTCATAAACACTTTTCCGGGAAATCATCAACATTTTGTTTTTTTGAAGTATACAGCATAGATTTTAATTATAAACTCCATAATAGTTAAATAGATACCCATATTACCTACTTTTTAAAGAAAATACAAAATCTATAGGGGACCAGACATTAAAATTTCAACCGTTTTCTCGTAGGTGTATACTTTTAATAACCAAAGCTGGAAAAACTCCTTAGTAGCGGTATTTTTCATGCGTTTTGTATTTTAATTTTTAACATAGATGATCAAAAATAATCAAAATATGTCTAAACTACTCGTATACGAAAATATATATTACATATAAAATAGATCGCGATCTTGATATGTTGTGCCGAATTTAGCAAAAACATTTCAACGCTTGTTCATTTAAAAGTAAATATTTGTTTATGTAGTGAAAAACGTAAAACAGACTTCCTGAAGCTGTTGATATATTGAATGAGTCTATATTCAGTGATAGAAAAGTAAGTGAAATACTACATAAAATAATATTAGAAACCGTTTATTTAAAACTAGCTGTGCCCGCGACTTCGTACGCGTGAAAATAGTTTGAATAATATTTCCCGTTTTCACAACAATTTTCTTTACTGCTCCGCCCCTATTGGCTGTAGAGTGATGTTATATAGCCTAAAACCTTAATCGATAAATGGGCTATTCAAAACAAAAGTTAATTAAGTAGATTTTTTCCAATTGAACATGATTCTTAACATTATTAGGTACCTATAATAATTGTGATAAATTGATGGAATAAAAGTTAATAGGGCCTTTTGTTTTCGTAGAATCTTTAAGTCATGATGTTTAGTCAAAGCCGCTTGTAAAAATTTTAATAGATTTCGTAGGATAATTATATTATTTAATATCGCTAATATGACCTTTAAACCTTTATATCGTTTTTTGTTTCATATCTGCTAGAGATACTCTTAAAACTGGTTAGATTTTTTTGTCAGTAAGGGCCTTGTTAACCATCTAAGAGTAAAGTGTTAAATAGGCTATTCACAAACATTCCTATGAGGTCTCACAGTGCGTGTGGATGCACAGGGCCACACACGAACCAATCACAGAGCTCTATTAAATGCGGATCGCTGAATAACGCTAGAATACTTCTTATTTTACTTGTTAGGACTTCAGAAAGTATCTAATTAACTAAGTAGAACTACTCGGAGATGGCGAAAAAGACGCTTATTGTTTGGTGTATCTATAGAAAAGCTATTCTAAAAATGTGGAATGTCAAATTTGTTGTTACTCTACCAGCACTTTGAGACAAGAATTTGGCAAATGCTGAGAGCAAGTGCCGGAAAGTCAGTCACCGTCTGTCACTTAAAATATAAAAATAAATGTAACAATCCATCATTCATCTAGGAACAGTTTGCTGAACGAAACACGTAATGTTTTCCTAAAAGAAAGAAATAAAAAATATTTGATGCGAGAAGGTACATCCTTATAAAATAAAGCAACAACTACAATAATCAAGAGAGTACAGGCATAAAAAGAGCAAAAAGAAAAGGTATCCACATATGAAGTATGTGGATACTTCATATTGCTTTTCTTATTGCTCTATATTGCCGTGAATCCAGCTGTTGTCATGATGATCAGAATAAAAGTAAGTTTCTCTAAACCATGGACTTATAAAAAACTTTTTTATAGGTCCATGCTCTATATTTGAGCAATTTAATTATAGATGACCCACGCTGAACTGTCCCGCCAAACTCAATGACAGGGGGGCGCTACCATCGTTCAACTATATGGTTTCCAACATGGCAAAAATCGAAACCAGCGATCCGGTAGTGACAGTGGCGCCCCACTGTCAATGTCATGCATAGGACAGTTCAGTATTTTGGAACTATACCTGCTTCTGAAAGCAAAATACAGACGATGAAACGCCTGAAAACAAACAAATAGTGCCAAGAAATTAGAAAAAAGTACACCCACCGCAAAGGCAAATAAATGAATATTAAATCTTAAACCATAACATTATTATGCTTACACCGACACAGTTTTTTTTATGCATGACAAGGCAGGTCTATGAATTTCATTACTATTAAACATGTTCTGAATATTATAACGGCTGTCCCTCTCCCTATTTTACTTTATGATTATGAGGTATCCGTCCGAGACCTGTGAAAACAAAAAAATAACTTTTTCTGACAGATAGGCTTTCAGAAATTTTACCAGCGAGTGGTAAAAGCCCCCAGGTCATAGTATCGCATTTTCCATGGCAAAAACCAACCATAAGACTCAACAGTGGCCGTTACCCGTCCAAAGTTAAATTTGTAAGTTGCGCCATTCGTTTATTATTAAAAAGTTTTAATGCCGTCATGTAAAAGCCTCTTTGGCTGAACTTCAACGATTCAGTGCTGCCTCTGAGAACTTTCAGGCGTATTATTAAAATTATTAGGGAACGGTCAACGGGAAATGTTTAGAAGTAGCTGCAAGAGCAGGCAATACGGGAATATTCCCACCTCTCGTTCCCATCGCTGCAACTCCTGTGTAGCCAAGATCTACAGCTTAATCGCCAATAAAAACTCTAAAAGTGAAAGCCAAGTTTGCCCCGGGGGAAATTTAAACTGTCATTGGACCCGCAACGAAATTAATCAGAAGAACATAGGAGCAGGCAATATTATACAAAGGGTGAGTGGTGAGTAAGCTATAAGCAGACGTCGATTTATTTGATAAAATAAGTTTGTAATTTGCGTACCAATTAAACCAGTGCAATCAGAGTTTGTCTTGTGGGGTTCAAAAACAGATTATTTCCCAATGTTGCGAAATACATGTTAAAGCAGAAAAGAGTAGTTTTAGTGGGAATAGTTGGCGACTAACGAACAGCGTTTAGTCGTCACTCGTCAAGGGAGTCCCTAATAATAACCTGCTTTCGTATCCACGTAATTATGCGGAAATAAATTTCTCCACGCAAAACAAATAGTTTTATCTTAAGTAATTTTTGGAAAAAAAAAGTTTTTCGAATAAGTAGTTGGGTTTCAAAGTTAGAAGTTTTGAAGTTAGGAGTTTGTAAAGTTAGTTTAGTTTTCAAGGTTAGGAGGTTAGGGTTTTTACCTAATTCCAGATGTATAGTGTTGTACAAATTAGGTTGAGTATATTTATTTAAGTAGGTATGCCTCTATTCGTATCCCTTTAACATTGAGGGTGAGATGAGATTTTTCGAGAAACTGGCGCTTAGTCATGTTGGTTATTAATAACAATGTCAGAGTCAGTTAGCACTTCCTAATTTTAGAACATTTTAGAACGGATCGCTTTCATCATATTTCAAAATCTCTTTGTTTCTTAGCCGTGAAGTGGTTCTAATCTTAGAAGATTTTAGATATTAAAGTACTACTTGTATTTTATTCTTCTTAGACGGGCACTCTTGTCAGAGTGGTCGTAGTTGCGCTGACGAGGTACACGTTGGTGTGTTCGATGTCATTTCCGAGGGTAGCTCTCCTGGCGATGGGCTTCCATTTCTGAAGGACTACACATCAAACAGAGAACGGGCAGCAGCGCTCTCTGAAAAACATCAATATTTTAAACTGCGATCTCCAACCCGCCTGCCCAGCGTGGGGATTATGGCAAAACCCTCCACTATAGTGGAGGATGCTCATAGTCCAGCAGTGGACTGTAAAGGGCTGTTGATGATGATGATGATGACGCGAGTACACAGGACCATGGTGGACTCAGTAACCTTTTGATGGCGTCTATCCAGCGAGTTGGCGACCGCGTTCTCTCTTGCCTTCCACCTGGCTGGTGTGGTGTGTTTCATTAGTATTCAATTATTTAAAGTGTCAAGCAAATGGTATTAATGTAATATCCAAAACTAAACAGAGAACTAAGACTAAAATAATTCTAATCTTCGTGTAGGTGGTGTAGGCGTAATAGATTACTTAGGTTAGTACCAAGCTCTTCGATCGAAGCTCGAAATAGACTTTCATATTTGGCTATGTTCTTAAGCAATGTTTAAACCAAACTAATGAATTTTTAAGTACGTAAGTAAGTTGTACTAATTGTATTTCGACAAGTCCCCTACGATTAACTGCAAAATAAAATAAAGTTGTGAATCCATTTCCACCCCTTTTTTTCTCTCCAAACATTGAATACCAATTCCAATATATTGTTTACTTGGCTCGAGCGAGAAGTCCATCCATAAGGTGGGCCGTGGCCGGTCAATATGGAAACCATTGGGGGAGGCCTATGTTCAGCAGTGGACGTCCTGTGGCTGAAATGATAATG